TTCGAATCCAGGCCTGGCTGACCCCAGATGCTCAATCTTTCCCTTTGCCATACTGCTAGACCCGGCCCTGAAGGGGGCCTGTGGCCCGCCAGCTGGTTATATAAACCACCACACAAGGTCTCACGTGCTAAGTGCTAAATGTGTCATGTCTGACTCCACCCTTTCCCTCGCTCCCACATCCAGCAGTCATCAAGTGTGGCTGAAACTGTGTCCGAGCTTGGGAACGGCTCCTGAAATCTTCCCTTCAATAGCTCAGGTCCTTGTTAACACTCACATGGTTCAAGGCTACGGCTTCCCAGCTATCCTCTGGCCTCCAGGCTTACCTCCTCCTCCCGCAGAGGGTCAACGTCCCTAACCACAGCTCAGGACTATCTCTCCTCGGCTTGAAACCTCCACTAGTCCCCACTGACTCTAGAATAAAGTTCAGATTCTTCCACCAGGCAGTCAAGAGCTCTGGTCTAGCTCCAATCTTCCTTTTTAATCTTGTCTTGTGTTATTCTCTTCAAACACACAGTACTCAGTGTGAGCCAGGCATGGTGGCACGTACACATAGTACTAGCTACTCAGGAGGCTGAGGCGAGATGATTGCTTGAGCCCAGGAATTTGAGTCCAGCTTGGGCAACATAGTGAGACCCATCTCAAACAAATAAAGGAAACCCCAGACACTCAGTGTGCTCTCCAGCCTCTACACATCCCACACTTCCATGCCTTTGTCTGTGCTGGCTGTCCCACCAGAAATGCTCTTTCTCCAACCTTCTCAAAATCCCTCTGAAATGTTAAGATCTAACTCCAAGGCCACCTCCTTCTTAGCCCTCCCTGACCCACAAGATGAGGACAATCTCTCCTTCCTCTGACTCATCAATCTTTTGTGCCCCTATGGCCAGTATGCACCTTATACAGTAGCAGAGACTCGGGTTCTCATGCCACCAGCTGGGGCTCCGTGAGCATCCGGGTCTTCTGAAATGGACTGCCACAGATGCTAAGTTTTGCAGCAACTAGGGGAAGAGTGTTGGAGGGGGTTGCACAGAAAGGACCAACCACTGAATGCTCTGGAAGACAGAGAGTACAGTAGTTAAAGAGCACAAGATCTGCCACCTGACTGCCTGGGTTCAAATACAGCTTCGCCTCTTACTAGCTAAGTGACTTGGGGCAAATTACTTAACTTCTCTGGGCCTCAGCTGCCTCACTTGAAAAAGGGAGGTGATTAGAGTGCCACTCACCATGCTGTTCTGACGACTAACTGAATGGCCACACATAAAAGCCCTGAGAACAGTGGCTGATGCACAGTCAGTGCTAAGCAAGTGTGTGCTGCCATCATTATTCGCGAAGCCCTGAGAAAGGAATTCCCGGTCTTGGTGGAGGGCTGACGGGGCTGACGGGGCTGCCACAGGCACAGCCCCCAGACTCTAGCTACTTTCCCAGTCCGTTTCCCAAGGGTTTTTGGATGATACGCAGGGCAGGCAATCAGCCCCCTTCTGCAGATGAGGAACCGAGCTGCTTTCAGATAAAGTGCCAGTGAGGGAACGGTAAAGACGCCAGAACTCCTCAGCCCTAGGCCAGGGCTCCTTTCTCTGCACCAGGCCGTCACTGTGCACCTGTTGTGGAGGCTCCCACGGTGGCCACCCCCTCCCAGCCCCCCAGGCCAGAGAGCCTGTCCGCAGTGCCCTCCCTTCCCCCACGTACACACATCCAACCAGGCCGGTGCAGTAGATAGCGGTGTGCAGGCTTGGAATGCACTCGCATATACACCCCTGTAGAAGGGCCCAGGCCCCAAAGGTGAGGAAAACCTGTTCTGAGGAATCTGCCTAGTGAGCGAATTCCGTTCCCAGGCCCTTCCACTGTCGCAGGAGTGGGGCCCAGTGTGCGTCACAGATACCCACAAGGGGGGCAGAGAGGGAGAGGGCGAAGCGGGAGGAGGCTGACAACTTCACGTTTCTTTTTTCCATTTTAGTGACAAGAGTCACACCCAGCCTTTACATAAACATGGCCAAGGAGCCGCTCTGTCTAAGCTTACTTCCCTTGTGGCCGCCCAGCCTCTCCTCCGGGTGACCCTGACATGACATGCTGGGTGGGCCAGTGAGGGGCACAGACGAACCCTGCAAAGACTAGCTGGGCCACTCGACAACACCCATGCCTGCCCCGGCTGCCCTGCACTACCCTGCATTTATCTGTGGCCTTCCTCATATCATATCCCCCGGCAGCCCCACCGCCACTCAAGCACGCAGACGGCAGGCACGCACACGCAGCCTGCTTGCGGCTGGCCTCCTGGGTCTGAGGCCCACACTGCCCTTGTCACACCACCTCCCTCCTCACATGTGTTTTCTGACCAGCTTGCCTCCCAGCCCAGCAGCCCCGACAGGCTCCTACAAACAACGTCACAAAAGAATACTGTGGAGAATGTTGCAAACACACAACCTTCCCCTTGCCTGGCTGCCCATAATCCCATAAACACAACTGGTGCATCCCACCCTGAGTCCCTGACACCAGCGCCAGCTGACCCACAGGCCCGAGACACACCCTGGGGTTCCTCACTCCCCTCAGGATCTTCTAGATCTGAGTTCTAGACGCGCAGCCCCCACCCAACTCGCTCATCACGGACACACAAGCCCATCCATCGCCCTCTTCACCACTGGACCACACCTCAGCAGGGCCACAGAAATGGGACCCAGATGTGACGCCTTTTGACTCAAAGGCCCACAACCACCCCCTCCAAAAGGGCACATACACTCTGCATCCTGGCACCCTCCGAAACACATACAGCATGCCAGCTCTGCAGAAAACAGTTCATAAACAGGTGATAAGGTGCAGCACAAGACACACATGTGAGAAAACACATGCTGTAGGAAACACACAGCCCCATATCCAACAAACTCTGCACTCAGCGTCCTATGCCCATCTCAGAATGCCCATCTGTCACCCAAAGCCACAGGGCTCGTCTTGTAATTCTGCCCCACAACACTGGACACCCCTCCTGGCTTTCTATCTCCATAGCCTAGGGAAGGCCCTACCAGGACCTTTGGCTGCCAGACCAGCAAACGGTGGTGCCCAGGAGAGGTTTACCTTGCCTCACCACACCGCACGAGACACAGGATCTCCAAGACTCACAGCCACAACCCTGCCCCGACGGCACGGCGGTTCCGGGGCCCCAGCTCGCCCTGCACATCCCGCACACCCCAACTCTGGGGCGCTTGGCGGCCCACCCCTCCCCCTCTCTGCCTGGCTCCTACGCCATCGCCCTCCCAGCAGCTTGCAGCGCTTGCCCGGGCTCACACCCGCCCCACCCCACCCCCAACCTGCCCCACGCGGGGGGGGGGGGGGGGCCTAGGCTGCAGAATTAACCCTTCAAAAGGGGAGTGAGCGACGCCCCTTCCACGGCCCCAGGCGATCGCGTCCCCCGGCCGCCGCTTGCTCGGACGCCATACCAGGGCCCCCTTAGTCGCCCCCCAGCGTCGTGCGCACCCGGGGGCGGGGCCAGGCTCAGCCCCCGACCCCTGCGCCCCCAGGTCAACCCCAAAGGAGAGCGGTCTGAGCTCAGGGCGCGGCCGGGGCTCCCGCGGCACCGGGCAGCGGGGAGGGGGCCCGGTAGTTAGCTCCGGTCCGCCCTGGCCCTGCCCAGTTCGCCCCGGGGCCCACCTGACTGCGATGGCGCCGCGTCCGCCAGGCCCGGCTCATCACCGTGGCCGCCCCGGGCCGCTCCAGTTTCGCCCGCCTCCAGCTCCGGCTCCGGCTCCAGCTCCGGCCCCAGCCCCCCCAGCGCCTGGCCCCGGCCCGGCCCCGCCGCCGCCGCCGCCGCCGCCGCTGACATCATCGGCTCCCCCCGCCCCGGTCCTACCCCCACCCCCACCCCCGGAAACAGTCCCCCCCCAGCGCCGCCGCCGCCGCCGCCGCCGCCGAGAGGAGGCCACCGCAGCGCAGCAAACGCCGACACAAAGCTCTGAGCGCCCGACGGCCTTCCCCGGGACTGATCCCCGGCAGGACACCGCGCCGCGCTGGGCCACCAGGCGGGTGGACACCGAGCGGGGCGCGGGTCGGGCAGCTGCACCCCGGCAGGGGCGCAAGACCACTGACCCCCAGGGAAAGGGCTCCCTCCGCCCTTCCCCCTTCACGCCCTTCACTCAGCAGTGCACACCGCTTGAAAGCATAACACAGGCTCAGGGTGCAGAAATGACACGCCAGACTCATAATCAGGCCCAGTGGGATCCACAGACCCAGGGTCAGCACACTCGGAGGGCCAGCCCTGGACACACACACACACACCCCAGGAATGCGCGGGGACGCTCAGCAGGCCGCAGACAAGGAAGGCCCTGGCCCCGAGTAAGGGGCACACATCAGAGACCACCAGCGCAAATGAACATACAAAGCTGGCTGGGTACTTTGTCCCCACCAGCAGATAGATCCACATCTGTATACCTGAACGTAAATGCAGAGGCCTCGGTGTTGGCCTCTTGGGACAACATAAACAAAACACCAGGTGGAAGCACACACAGAAAAAACACATTCCTGAAACTCCAGAGGGACAATCCCAAGGACTCCTCCCTGGTGCTAGAAAATTTAGAACTCTGGAGATGGAGGAGCCAGGCTTCAGAACTTCTTTCCTTAAAACCTCTCTCAAACAATGCAAAATATAAACAAACAAATTAATGTAAAGCCACAGAGCTAGCCATAAAAAGAATAAAAGAATCAGATAAACTTTGGAGTCATGGAGACATAGAAAAGTAACAGAGTTGGGCTGGGCATGGTGGCTCACGCCTGGAATCCCAGCACTTTGGGAGGCGGAGGGGGTGGATCACTTGAGGTCAGGAGTTCCAGACCAGCTTGACCAACATGGTGAAACCCTGCCTCTACCAAACAAACAAACAAACAAAAAACAAAATTAGGCGTGATGGTGCATGTTTGTAATCCCAGCTACTCGGGAGGCTGAGGCAGGAGAATCGCTTGAATCCAGGAGGCAGAGGTTGCAGTGAGCTGAGGTTGCACCATTGCACCAGCCTGGGCAACAAGGCAACAAGGGTGAAACTCCGTCTAAAAAAAGAAGCAGAGTGGGAAAACAGGCCCACTACCACCTTGGGAGGCTTCCAGGGAAGAACCCCACCCCCACTCAAACCAGGTCACAATGACTGGAGTTCTGAGGGGCCCAGGCTCCCTGAGCCAGGAAGAGAGGAAGAAATCCAAGGAAAGATGGTGAGTGTGGGGGCCAGGGGCCCAACACCCCCTCCCTATAGCTCCTGGCTGCTCTGTTTCCCCTCCTTTCCTAAAACTTAGCTGTCAAAACTTAGCTGTCTCAGAGATACCCACAAATGGAATTCATAAAGGTGTACCCAGATGTCTCTGGAACCTGTGGCATCACACAGATGCATGGCATCTGAGGCTGCCTCCCCTTCCTCAATCCAACAGAGCATCCTGGGTCCTTTTTCTTCTCCCAGGAACAACTTACCCAGAGCAACACGATGCTCCAGGACCACTCACTCCCTGCCTCCTGCTCCAGGCCCATATTATACCACCTAACTCATCTTTTAGGCCCTTTCTAGCTTCCAAGAGTTCCTTAGCAAAATAGCCAAACCCTCTACAGTCCCACAGGGTTCCAGACCCCCTCCTGGCACCTGCCCTGCCCCAGGTCGCCTGGGCTGTGGCTGCCCTCATGCCTGAGCTTTCTCCCTAACAGGCTGGCAGTCACCCCTTCTTCAACCTGTCTGACTTCACACAGCCATCGCCGCCCTCCACTCCACCCAACCTCCCCTCGCACCAGCGCTGCCGGCCCTCTGATGCCACCAAGGGCTTGCTGGTGGCCCTGCTGGGTGGGGGCCTGCCTGCTGGCTTCGTAGGCCTCTTTTCTCGTATGGCTTACCAGGCTTCCCACCTGCCCTCGCTGGAGCTGCTCATCTGTCGATGCCTCTTCCACCTCCCTATTGCCCTCCTACTTAAACTGCGTGGTGACCCACTTCTGGGACCTCCTGATGTCCGAGGCCGGGCCTGCCTCCATGCCCTGCTCAATGTCTTTAGCATTGGATGTGCCTACACTGCGGTTCAGATGGTGCCTGCTGCCAACGCTGCCACTGTTCGCAAAGGTTCTTCCACTGTCTGCTCCGCTCTCCTCGCTCTCTGCCTTGAGAGCCAGGGTCTCAGTGGCTACGACTGGTGTGGACTGCTGGGCAGCACCCTAGGACTAATCATCATTGTGGGATCTGGACTAGGGACACTGCAGGAGGGGACCACGGGCCTCTACACTGCCCTGGGCTATGTGCTGGCTTTCCTGGGAGGCCTGGCACTGTCCTTGGGGCTTCTGGTCTACCGTTCTCTGGACTTCCCCTCCTGCCTCCCAACAGTGGCCTTCCTGTTTGGCTTGGTGGGGCTGCTGGGCTCTGTGCCAAGCCTCTTTGTGCTGCAGACCCCTGTGCTGCCCAGTGATCCCCTGAGTTGGAGTTGTGTGGGGGCAGTGGTGGTCCTTGCCTTGGTCTCCTTCGCGTGCGTGAGCTACGCGGTCACCAAGACCCACCCTGCCCTGGTGTGCGCTGTCCTGCACTCTGAGGTGGTGGTGGCCCTTATGCTGCAGTATTATGTGCTCCATGAGACCGTGGCACCTTCCGACATCATGGGGGCAGGGGTTGTGCTGGGCAGCATTGCCATCATCACAGCCCGGAACCTCAGCTGTGAGAGGGAAGGGAAGGTGGAGGAGTGAGACAGAACTCGGGAGCCTGGGGGTTGGGAGGGACGGGGGTAAACAGAGGCAAAGACTGAAGACAAACATGGGAGGACAAGTGACTGGAAAAGAACTGGTGTGGGAGAGGGATACCTGTCAGAGTCAAGGGTGACTTGGGGACTTGGTGGAGAGGGACTACCTAGAAGACCTGGAACCCTGGGACCAAGGGATGTGGAGTCCAGGCTGGGTCCCGGGAATCAGGGCATAACTAAGGGGTAAAGTCTGAGAAGCACATCCAAGGGGCTGAGGCAGGCAGGTCGTGGGCTGCGGGGAGGACTTCACTCAGCAGCAAAGAGAAGAGCATTGGGGCTGGAGCGTTCCGGCAAAGACAGCCAGCAGCTGCGCTGGGGGAGGGGAGCGTGCCTCCCCACCTCTCCCCTCCCGGCGAAGGTTTCCTTTCCTCGTGCTTGTGCCCCCCCTTGGGGTGGTGACGTGACATTGACATCAAACAAGGATTACTCTGAATGTGGCCGTGCAGTGGTGTCTCTGCTTTGGAGGGAGAATGGAAGTCCTACGACTGTTCTCATTGGAGAATTCCTTGGGGTCCCCGCCCCCCATTTTATTCCTAAAATATTCTACAAAGTGGAGGATTTCCTAATGTTCAGATGACTTGACCCTAAATCCCCCAGGACTTTTGTGGCCCGCCCCATGGCTAATCTGCTTTTCTCGGATTGTCGCGGTCCCGTGATATCTTCCGGACAGTGGCCAGGCTCCTTCCGGAGCCAGCCTCCGAGGTGAGGTCTCTTCAAGCGGTTCAGGCTATGGATCCAGGACCGTGGCTCAGTACAGCGCTACATTAGAGGCCAGGAGTTGCCCACCCGTCTCTGGGGGCCGTCTGACAAATATCGGCTACTTCCGGACAAGCCACTGTCCCAGCCATCTTGATTTGTTCATGCATATTCAGCATGGGAACTGCATATTCATGAGCAACCGCCCTCCCCCGGGAGCCCACTCGGGAGGACCCGCCCCGCCCCGCCTCTATTACCGATTAGCAGAGCAGACCATTTTCCAGCTGGGGGGGGCTACGAGTGAGAGGCTTTTGCTGAAGATGAAACCGTGGTCCAAACTAGAATGCAAGCGGCCCAGTTTTACCCTCGAGTCTTCAAACCTTAAGCCTCAGTGCAGGAGGGAGCAGCGAGGGGAGGCGATGGGATTAAAAAAAAAATTCCTCTCTGTCACTTCAAAAGGTCGCCCAACCAGCGAGCGGGGGAGGATCTACCACTCTGGTTCGCACCCCGTGCGGGCCTGCGCAGGCAGCCCCGTAGCGCAAGGCAGGGCGGGAAAGGAAGGGGCGGGGACGCAAGGGCGAATCTATAAGAGGCGTCGTTCGGCGAGTTCGCTGCTCAGAAGCGCCGAGAGCGCGGCCGGGACGGTTGGAGAAGAAGGCGGCTCCCGGAAGGGGGAGAGACAAACTGCCGTAACCTCTGCCGTTCAGGAGCCTGGTTACTTATTTATTCGTTACCCTTTTTCTTCTTCCTCCCCCAAAAACCTTTTCCTTTCCCCTTTCTTTTTTTTTCCTTTTTGGGAGCTGAAAAATTTCCGGAAAGGGAAAGAAGGGCTCCTTTCGCTCCTTATTTCTCCGCCTCCTTCCCTCCCCCACCTTTCCCTCCTCCGGCTTTTTCCTCCCAACTCGGGGAGGTCCTTCTCTGTGGCCGCCCTGACGAGGTCTGAGCACCTAGGCGGAGGCGGCGCAGGCTTTTTGTAGTGAGGTTTGCGCCTGCGCAGCGCGGCTGCCTTCGCCATGCACGGGGGTGGCCCCCCCTCGGGGGACAGCGCATGCCCGCTGCGCACCATCAAGAGAGTGCAGTTCGGAGTCCTGAGCCCGGATGAACTGGTAAGCAGCTCTGCCCTCCCCTTTCTCCCTCCTCCTCTGGCGGGCGGGGCCGGACGGAGGCCGCGGAAACTTGGCGCTTCTCGCCGCCTGTGGGTTCCGGGCTGGGAGGATGGCTCAGCAGTGCCAAGACCGTGCAGGCGCCAGTCTCGGGCCTCCCAGAGTTATGTTTTGCAGAGTTGAGCAAGCTTAGCGCTTTGTCCTACTTTGGGGGCTGGCCGGAGGGAGAGAAGGGTGACTGATTTCACAGTATAGTTAACCTACGTTAAAGGCGAATCCTAGGGGATCTACAAGTTTGATTAAGAAGCCAAACCCCGGATAGTTCCCTCCTCTTCTATAATATAAATATTAATTAAGCACCTACTGTGTTGTAGACAGAAAACATTGTGAGGTTTCAGAGGTGAACACGACAGACGAGGACCCTACCTTCAAGAGCACTGTCTATGTGAAGGGGCAGGCAGTAAGCATGAATACAATGAATGAACAAGATAATTCAGTTAATGGCAATTGTCTCAAATAGAGTGAAACAGGGTAATGCTGTGGAGAGTCACTGAGGTGCACTACTTTATTTATTTATTTATTGGGGGACAGAGTTTAACTCTTGTTGCCCAAGCTGGAGTACAATGGCGGGATCTCGGCTCACTGCAACCTACGTCTCCGGGGGAGAAGTGATTCTCCTGCCTCAGCCTCCTAAGTAGCTGGGATGACAGGCATGTGCCACCATGCCTGGCTAATTTTGTGTTTTTAGCAGAGACGGAGTTTCTCCATGTTGGTCAGTCTGGTCTCGAACTCCCGACGTCAGGTTATCCGTTCACCTAGGCCTCCCAAAGTGCTGGGATTACAGGCATGAGCCACAGCTCCTGGCTGAGGTGGGGCTACTTCAGTTGGGATGGTGTCAGGGTCTGGGAAGTTTTGTGTGAGAAGACGACATTACCTGCATGATGAGAGGCAGCGAGTCATTGAAGACATAGTTTCTAGGGTGAGAACTTTTCAGGGAGAGGAAATAGGAAGTGCAAAGGGTCTGAGGGAGAAATGAACTTGGACTTGACCTGGAAGCTGAAAGGTGACCAGTGTGGCTGAGGTTTAGTGGATGAGAGAAGAGGAGTGTTACAGAAATAGTCTGGAGAAGCATGGGATATTATATATTATGGTAAGGAGTCACAACTTAATTCTATTTTCAGTAGGTAGTCGTTGGACAATTATAAACAGGAGAGTGACAGCAAACTCACATTTGAAAAAATGCTGCTGTAGTTGCTGTATGAAGAAGTGATAGGGGACCAGGGAGGAAGAATGGAATCAGGAGAGAGCAGAGAGAGGAGGGTAGTCCCAGGGGTGAGCTATTGGTGACTTGGACTTCTTCCCTTGTGGGGCTAAGTAGAGGGAGCTCACTGGCTGGAAAGAATGGAGTTAAGTGGCTGTTTGTGGATAGAGACCATTTTGCTGGGAGAGAGTTCAGCTATGTCAGGAGTCAGAACGTCCTGATCTCACACCATACCACAGAATCAGTTCCAGATGAAGTTAAGACTTTTTTTTTTTGAGACAGAGTCTCACTCTGTCGCCCAGGCTGGACTGCAGTGGCATGATCTCGGCTCCATACAACCTCCGCCTCATGGGTTCAAGTGATTCTCCTGCTTCAGCCTCCCGAGTAGCCGGGTCTACAGGCGCATGCCACCACGCCCGGCTAATTTGTTGTGTTTTAGTAGAGACAGGGTTTCACTCTGTTAGCCAGGATGGTCTCTACCAAAAATACAAAAA